TGTCAGTTACGTTTATATTTTAGGCATTCAGATTAAATGAGTTTAACCGTCAATTGGTTATTATTTTTTTTATACGTAAACATGGAATCGTTTCCCGTTGTTTTTCCATTATTTTTAATATTTGTTCTTTCCCTTGGCGTTTAATTAAATCCGTAAACGTTGGTAGACGTGGTGTTATAAATCGTAATGTTCAAATAATAAAAAAATAATAAAATGGATTACAATACATTTATCTAAAAAGCAATCGAATGTAAATACTAGGGAAATGTTCGCCGTCATAAGACTTGCTGAATGCGAAATTGTAATTGATGGTAAATAAGACGTTTCGCGTATTAAGGGGAGTACCGGTAGTGACTCGGGGCCGCAACACCTCCGGGCGATTTCTTTTATCTCCGAAACCGTCTGTTCGTTTTACTATTTCTCCTCGACCAGCCGTCCCTACCACCACCTTCCTCCCGTACAACACTGGCACTCATACTGCGTTTTATTTTCGTTTTTCCTTGGCTTGTATTATCCCCGTGGATGTGCGCATTCACCGTTTAGATTTGTGCGCTCGCCGCCGTTCGCAGGCGGACGCTGTAATTGCCCAAATTTATTGCGCTTAAGCGTTAGAGTTCAGGTCTCCGAAGATTTACCGTTCCAGGATTATCCCTGGTTTTGGGAAATATTGCATATATCCACGTTTTAATGGGCCCCGTCGACCCCTTGAGCCACACCGTCGGATGAATGTATTTATTATTATTATTACTATTATTGTTACTGTTATTATTATTACTATTACTATTATTATTATTATTATTATTATTATTATTGTTATTATTATTATTACTATAACGGCACCGCGTTTCATCACCTACAGGACCCCCGGTCTTGCCGCGGCTCAGAACGACCACCCCTACAACGTTGCTCGGCGCGTAATCCTAATTTAATAGAAACCATATAATAATACCGACTGATGCCTACGGATTAGTCACGTCTTCATTGGCAACGTGTGGTATTATTTCCCGCTGATCTATGCATACAATACGCGTGTGAGCGTGGTGCGCGCGTGTGCGATTGTATACTGTACATTACGCAAACAATTACGAGTGTATGACTGAAGCCGTAAACGCATTAAATGGTCATAAAACGATAGCCTCGTCGAGTTGATCAATTATGCCACCCATGAGGACGAAATATTAATATATTCTCGTACCGAGAGACCCAACTTGTAATTATAATGAAAAAAAAAAAATGTGCATAGCGTTTCGAATACCGTGCACGTTGTCCCGTTGAGACCTGGTAAATTTGATCTTCGTGTGCGTTGCTTTTTTTTTCGAAAAGTTAAACAATTTGAACACCGTCGCCTAACCTGACCCGAAACGGACATTTACAAACGAATCGATTTCATTCAAATGAGTTTCGTACAAAGTTTTTATAGATCATAATATTACTGTTACGAGATCGTATTCATAAACTTGGAACATTATTTAGATGTCACAGTACGTTGCTATACTATAGTCCAGGGTTTAAGAATTTGTTGGAATTCGTTTAGTTTAATTTGTAAGTTGTTTAAAAATGTCAATACATTTGGGTTTGTGATTTTTTTTAAATTATAATAACGCACGTTATAGTTATTTCATAGTTTATTTATCGTGATTTTAATAAGATAAACCTATTCTAGATTTTTACTTTATTTTTCTTGATCACATATTTTAATGTTTTATATTTTGCGTTACAGCGCGTATAAGTTCAAACATTCACCAATGATCGTCCAACAGTAATTACTGCCACGACTAAATTAATTGTTCACTTTATGCGAAAAACTGTAGTTCAAAATGAATAATAATTCAATCATATTTCATTAAATTCTAATTAAAATTATCGCTTTGACTTTACTTAATATTTCTTTATCCAACAAACATTTTTTAATTACATTAAAATTATTCACACTAACTGTATTTTATTGAATTTCTACACTTTAAGAGAATGGATAGTAAATTATAATTATATGGGTAAATGAATTAACTGTAACATAAAAAGACTTCAAAAATAGAACCGGTAATTGTTATGTAAAAGTTTCATTGGTTAAAATTATTATTTATAATTGCAATTTCACAAGACAAAAACTCCATGTATTCAATTGTTTTATCTTAGTTTTTGATATTTTCTGAGTAACTGTACATACCAGTACCAAGTTTAAATTGTTTTTATACATATAAAAACACGATTACTTACACGAAATTGGTTAACAGAAAATTTAATAATATTGAGTTTAATTATTCGCACGGTAAAAACTAACGATATTTTTTTGCTACTTACTGCCAAGAGAAAAAAATTAAACGCATGAAAATTATAATTTTAAATTCTACACATCATTTTTAATATTATATCGAGATAGATTCAATAATATTTTACATACTAACTAAATTATCACACTACTCGTAAATAATGATTCATTATCCGATTACCTCGAACAATCCCTTTGATATATTCTTAGGTATTGTGATTATGAAAAATAATAACTTATTTTTAGAGCAATGTTAACTTTTTAATTTCTATAGGTTATATTATAAAAATGCGTCGAGGCAAAGGTGGTCTGACTACTAATGTTACTATACGTTTATATTGGAGTTTTGAACGTAAGCATACAATTACTTTACAGTGTAGTTTTATGCACGGTACGCATTATATCACAAGAAAGTAGAAATGTCAGTAACTTTTTGATCTTAGTAGTTGTCGGCGCGGAAAGTGCCTACCAACAGTAGGAGACTATCTTGTTCGCCAGTTTAATAATAAGAATGAGTAAAAAATAATAATAATTAAACAAATAATCTAAAGCTATAAGTGTACTGTATAAGATAAATATAAATGTGCCTATTTGGCACATGCAAATTATAAATATAAATAAATTTAATTAGATAATTTGCTTACGCGGTTTTATATATAAAATAATAAATAATACAATAATTCAACAACAAAATTTTATAATTTGCCTTCGTCGGCAAGGCCCGTCGGCCTTTACACAATAAGAACAGATATGGTCGACCAATACTCATGTATGACAGTGTTCGATGGCGGATTTAATCCCACGCGACCGCACAAGTCACACTGTGACTTTGACAATTGCCTACGACAGCACACCACAAATAAATAAAAATTAAATTCATAATACTTGGTACGTGTGACAACAAAAGCACAGTCACCGAACGAAGATCAATTCACGTGTCTGCAGCGTAACACAACACAATACAAAACCGCGTTACTCACAATGGCCGCTGGTCAGGAACGTATTTAGGGGGGAGTGATATAGGTGTTAGAACACCCCCCATCGACCATATTTTATAGTATTTTACCAAATTGCAAACTTACAGTATAATTTGAATAAACGTTGTATAGAACTTTTAGATTTTACAAAAACTGTTTTAATATAATAATTTATATAAAAACATAGTATTAATTAATGTAATACGGGGAGGAAGGCAGATCCCCCGCTTACCATAAGTCTATTACATTTTAAAACACCTCCGTTAAATTAATCCTGGATACGCCACTGCCTCTAATAGATATGTCTACAAAACCAATACTATTGAACGATGAAATAAAATATTTATTGGAATCTAATATATACCACACGATCGAACAGAAACAGAACACGAGACAACGTGGTTTTTACAAGAAATTTACTGCAGACAACGACAAAAACGGATCCTGATGTGCACACACCACAAAGACACAAAGACGAACGAAGACGGTGTCGAAGGCATTTACCACGAAGGCTATGGCCACCGGACACCAAAATAAAGGTAAAATGCCTCAGTGCCACCACACTAAAACTAGAGCACAAGAACTCGTTGAAACTTTGCAGCACTGAGAACATGACTTTAGCATTTACTAAAACGTAAACGATACATTTTAAAAACGTCGGATAACGAACACATTTACGCGTAATATAACAATGTGACGACGCGCTACGCATCACACGAAAATAATATACATTTAATTCACAGACCGGAAAACATGAAATTCAAATTTGGTTTACTCGCAAACAGTAGTTTAAAAAAAATTAATTAAAAATAACAATGTTAATTTTCAGAAAAATATTTTTATATTTTTTGATATGATTTAGTATAAATAACGAAGAGATGATCGTGAAAAGGTAAATTACTAAGTAATATGTAACATATAACGCATTATCTACGTAGGATTAAAAATTGAAACTATTTCGTCCAACCCATATTAAACATATACTTATAACTACTTAAAGTAATATTCTTATAGTTTTTTCAATGAAATAATTTTTGTACGTACTGTAGGTTTATTTTTATTAATGTTAGTATTTACTATATATATATCACTATGGATAATGCATTGTTTAAAATAATACGAATTATATTTCTTTTCTACCGCGATAACCTAAATTAAATAATTTAACTAAGAAATGAGTACTTTTTTTTTCTAAAAATACTTTTCATAACCTGACCACATGCATCAAATATGTTTTTAATCAACGAAATTTGATATTATAATTCATCTTAAATGAAACTAGGTATAAAAAATCGAATTCACAATGTGAAATATAGGAATGGTGTACGATATTATATTAAAATTAATTAAACGTATTTATCCATCAAATATGTACAAATAAAGATAAAAAATATTTTATATTATTGAACACATACATTTTAAAAATGTCTAAACAATATACATTAATATACCTCCTAATAAGTATTATATATTATCTCTTCAAATATTCTTCATTTAGCTATCTATAACTAACTAATCTTAGATTGAATTTATCCAATCATTATTAATTTAACAATCCATATAATCCAATAATTATTTATTAATTATCAAATACAATTAAATAATTGTATTTATTAATTTAACTATAGTTATATTTTATAATATTAAAATATTAAATCGATAATAGTCTCATGTATTTCATGTATGCAAATTTTATTTTATTTTTTTATCGAAAAGAAAGGTTTCAACGTTTGACGCTATTAACTTAGCGCACTTGTTATTTTATGTATGTTACATTTATCATGAAGTTTAAAGGTACAAGTTAAACATTGTAACAAATTGGTTAATGATAATTTATTATATTAATTCTTGTAAGAAAATTTAATAGAAAAACTAACTTACTAAAACTAAAAAATCTTAATAGAGTTCTCTTCATTTAGAGCTTCATATAATATGTTTGGTATATATAGTGTGTTTAAATATTTTGAAGATTTGGACAGTTCTGAATGATCATGTCCTTTTTGAATTTCACGAATATTTATCAAGAATCAGTAAGTCAAAAAAGAATTTAGCATTCTCGTTATGGTAAGACCAACTTCCTGTTATCCGTTTAAATTTTAAGGGATGTGTCACTTTTTAGTGCATTTTTAATCTTTTTTAATTTGTTTAATTTGTTAATTTGTGTCTCAATAATTTTTCCATATCATGTTTTCTTTTTGTTTTATGAATATTTTAATGTCGTTTACCGATATGTTGGTGACTGTTGGATGTCAGATTGTTTTGGTCACTATATCCGCAATGTTTTCGGCTATCTCGTTTACGACAAGGCCAATAAGTGTTAATGCCCACATACATTATATATTTTGTTTTATTAAATATAATTCGGTTAGGATGTTCTGGGTTATTTTATCTGTAGAAAAGGGGTTTTGGAGTACCAGTAGGATGCTAAAAAGATCGCCTAGTATAAGTATTTTATTATTTGAGGTAGTCAAATTTTTAATTTGCTCACTTCTTAAATAGCATAGTTATACACAGAGAAAATGCTCCTTTCCAGTGCATGTTCGGATTTTGGTTTTCATTGATGATTGAAAAATATGTTCTGTGTAGTGATATGGATGCGTTGGTATAAGTTGGTAAGAATTCGGAAAATTCGATTTCTTTTAAGTGAGACATGATAATTTTCGAATTTGAATCATGTTTATTGTACATTTTTGATACGATTATGTATTAGATTTTCCAATTCCAAGGTGGATATTTGTGAAAATATATTTAATTTTTTATAGATGTGTGAATTTTGAAATTTTCGCGCAAATGAAAGATCATACTCATATAATGTATGAATGTAATTTTCTACTCATCATGTTGGTTGGATTTGATTTTATGCAAAGTATTAGCTATTTTCAAGGAAAACTGCAATTTTCAATGGATTTCAAATATTAATATCACTATGCATTACCAAGCGATTTATTCGTGCACAATTCGATAGTTTCACGAAAACAATTGAAGAATTACGGGGAAAACGATGTTAGTCAATATTTCTAAGCTGTTTAGTGTTACAGTTTTGAAATTTCATAATTAAAAAAACTAAGAAATAAAGAACGACATCATTCTAAACAATTCATTGCCGTAGTACAACTTATTATTAATAAAATTAATAAAAACAAATTTAATTTACTATTAAAACAAATGACGATTTGACAACTGGCAAATGACAACGACAAGATGATATAATATTATCAAATTTTTATGATTTTTTTTTTTTTTTTGCTTATTATCGTATTTCCCCGTAGCTTTGATACAACCAGCAATACATACATTTAAATACGAGGTCGGTAAATTTAATATATCCTAAAATAAGCATAAATAAATATGACAGATATCTGATGACTGGATTAAAATTATATGAAAAGATTCCGACAACTATGAAAAATGTTCTGTCATTTGATATTTTCAAATTATTAATAAAGTAATACAATTAAAAAAAATAAAATATAAAGTAATATATAAATATATTTTATTTTCAATTTTGATACTCTCGTCCATTAAAACAAGGAAACATCCATAGCGATAGATGATGCAGTGTAACAAAAAATTAACAATATCATGTAAACAATTTCAAACTGCTGAAATAAAATATTTATTATAATTGTTGTTATTACTATAACGCATACCAAAACAGAACAATAGGATTAAACTCTAACCCACATTATTACTACTTATGTGTTTGTTTTTATTTTTCAAAAGAAAATCACCCGGCCGATAAGTACTCGTTACTTATCGCGTTGTAGTTGCGTTAATACTTTAAAAATATTCACAGCGAGAACACGAGTAGTTTAATGAAATAAACCTACCGTAATAATAATTACTGTATTATTACGTTGCGTAACATTTTCACTGTTATATTCCGAGGACATATTATTTAATACCTACAGTATTATAATGCGCTCGTTAAAAATACACCCCACGGCCGGCGTACTATCGTAAGTTTAAAATTAAACACAACAGCTCTGTCTAGCAAACACGAAAATCTCATGTGCAAAACCTACGATTATAATAAACAAACTAATAATAATAAATTACAGCAAGCCCTCGTTGGCGCTTCATAATTAAATGATCTTTCGTTTGAACAGAATAAGTTAGTGTGCAGCGCACCAACGTTATCGATTTAAGATTCCGACCGGCTATATATGTGTAATCCGGAGTAATGTCGGGCAACCGCATCTTACGCGACCCTCTGTCTTTAAACTTTCTACTTAATGTGTGTGCTTATTTCCAAAAAATAACGTAAATAACTTATATTTTCGTAACCCTTCGGAAACTAGCGCATTTCGCATCGCATAAACAATATCATAAAATCGCTTATGGCACAAGATTTTTCCTCGGGTGAGTGTTTCCCCGCCCCCTCGCTCCCGCCTCCTTCACACCCCTGTTCGCGCCTTGATCCAAGTCCTCGATAAGTCCATTGTTTGTTTGACCACCGTGTTTTATGAGTTTCTCGCGCTTTGGCCCCGGGCCAGCGGAAAAATGTACCTAACATAAAAATCGCCATGCTCCAAACAGTATTTGACCATTATTTGACAATGATAATTTTTCATCCCTCGAACACTGCTGTATGTAAAAGTTTTCCTCCGGATACAGTAATCGAGTCGTTTTACTCGTATATTTCGGGACGACCCCGACATTTCAACGGAATTACACGGGATTTTTTTTTTTTATTTTATCACTTGGGAAGAAGGGACACAACAACAACTGTCTGACCATAAATATCAGCTCTTTTTTTTTTTTTTTCAAGTGGTTTTGTTTAGCGTTCAATACACGATTGAATCCCGTATTATTAGATGAGCATGAATAACAGACACAGTGACTTTGGATTTCTTACGAGGACGATGGATATAGCGTGTGATTTTTGAAAACATTTTATCGTTATATTAATTTAATACAAGCAAAATAATTTAAAATAAAAAAAAAAATGCTTGCCAAACGAAAAATAACGAAAAAAATCGAACTTTTACCAACTCGCTTTGCCTTATAAATTTTATCGAGACCATCGGGGTATCCTTCATTCCATTAAAACCCTCTAATCTCGGTAATATGATAAACTTTTCATCTCCGCTTTACTGTAGACCATTTACAATAAACCATTAGATGATAATATCAAATTATCGATGTTGGAAATTAATAAATCGATAAACTATATTTATTCAGTATTAATTATAAATATACTGTGTATATGCTGGATAAACTTAAGAATCGAGTTTTAGCTAACCGAAATTTGTAAACAGTAAGAAACACAATATTATATAATTTGACGTGAATTGTTACTATTTAAATCGTTGTCGAAAAACAAAATACTATAACTTGTGGTATTCGAATCCAATACCGTTAAAATCAAATTAATATTTTATTTCTGCCACAAAATGTTTATTCTAAAAATGTCGACCAAGCAATTTTTGATAAATTAAGACGATGCAAAATATTCACAAGTATTACCTTAACTAATGGGCGAACAGTAAACGAAATTATGCAAGAAAATATAGATTAAAATTATTTATTCATTCCTTATTGTTTTATGGACTGATTCGATGGTTGTTTTTAAAATTAAAACTATTTGCGTTCTACTACTATAATCGAACATTATTTAAGAGTGACACATAATTTCGAGAGCCACACGCTAATTAAATATTTAATCTTATATGAATATTGTATGATGGGTGAATTTTCAGTGACGTTATCAAATTAGTTTCAGGCAGTATAGAAAAATATGAAAATCGTTCTATCATCCATTCGAAATAATAAGTGTTGATGGATGACGTTTATGAAAAATGAGAGTATTTATGTTTGATGAAAAATCTAATACTTTTTACGGACGTAATATTTTTATAACTTACTTACAATTTATATGATTCCATTCCAATAACATATTTTTTTATTATTTTGTCATGAATTTGGTTTTATGTATAATATTCGATGTAAAATACTCTTTGTGTAGAATCCAAAAAAATGAGTGGGTAAGTATTATTATTTTTTTTCAATTATCCATGTTCAACAACGAATATATTTTATTCATTAAATTGCAGTTTTGATTCTAAAATCTAAAATGTAATTACATCAAATACCTAAAGAATATAAAAGGTTCAATGAATAAACCGTTTATAAGATTTTCTTTGCAAATTCATCGAGAGTATTACCAAAATTAGCTAAAAACTAATTAGTTGATCTTAATGGTTAAGGTAAAACAAGAGTATTTTAACGATATATGTGTAAGTACGTTGCTATTTTTGCGATCCGTTCTCGTTTTCATGACTGATATTTTTTTTAGTGATCAAATTTCCAGATGTTACATTAAATTTAAGAAGTATCTATTATAATCAGAAATAGAATAATGATCATACTTAAAAGGTAACATGAATGAAAAAAAAAAATTGACAATAATGTCTCACTACCAATGATGTATATCTATACCATCTGAATCCTTTCTAAACAATGAAGCTATAAAGGACAAACAGACAGTCGAAAGTATTCATTCAAATCTTTTATCATATCGGAATGTTGAACTATTCAATCAATTGAATACAAATGGTATATTGTATCAAGTTTGTCATTGTAAACAATTTTTCAAGCAGACGGATCCTGAATAACAACACTAAAATATGCCACACAAACATTTGTTTTATATATTATTTTATACAGAATCGAGAATATAATTATTTATTTATGCACTATGAAATTATGCTTATATATATATATATATATATATATATATATATCTATTTGTCACTTATCATAATTTTACACATTACAGCTAAGTTCAGGGACGTTGTTTTTATAATTAAATATGCATACGTAACAAATGAACAATCTGTCATATGCTAAACACCAAATAAGATTTAAACATTTAGTCGCGTTCTAACATAAAGAACATGTCAGGTTCAATCATGTGAGGTTCAGCACTGAGTCAAATGTAATATCAATATAATAATAATATCATTATAATTGATTTAATTCGCTCGCGTCGCGGCAGGTAAACAATCCACTAGAAATGTCTCCGGTTGTTGTGAACTTTTAACTATCGAAACTCGCTAACTCATTCTCCGCTTCACTTGCTACGTACAATACCATCCACCGACAACAGCATCATTATTTTATATATATATATATATATGTACAATATATACTTGATACTTGTTGTTGGAAATGAATCATGTTCGTCGTGATCACAGTTCAATTGGATTAGGACGAAAATTGGTCACAGTTTCTTGGTGATGTTTAATAAGACTTGGAAAACATTTATATCAGTCCCGAAAGCCGGTGATGGTGAGAAATAGCCCGCTGATAACCCTTTACCAGTATTAGTTGTTTACTCCGCCGTCTACCCATAATGCTATTGCAAAAAACGATAAGAGGGGTCACGTTACAACGGTCACTGACGATCAAATTAAATTCAAACTCGGTGTTCGAATACACTCGTTCTAATTACCTACCGTATTAGTTTGAAACAGTTAATCTAGAGTTATTTAAATTTCCTGCGGATCGTTTCTTCCCGCATCCATGCTATGGCCTTCTGCAACGGAATAAAGTTTCCGGGGAAATGTATAATACTAAATGTCATAAAAGTGATTTACGAGGTCGACTACACGGTGTGTTCCCTCGGCGATTTCGTTTTCCAGTGTTGG